AAACTATGCTATAAGCGTCGTTTGCGAAAGCAAATTCGTTAGGCAATATTAAATAATATATCATGACAAATACTTCAAGAATTAGTGATAAGAAAAGAAAAATGTGATAATCGAAAGAAATAAGACAAAATACATTTTAAAATGCATTATGCACAGCTGTAAGTAGAAATCTGAAAAGCCATCTAACTTTTAGTGTTTTGAAAAGTATTTAATGATGAGATAAATTGTCGGGACAGAAATTATCTTCATATTAATTGAGATGTTGGCTCACTGATGCTAGTAAAGTCTTGCAGTAAATGTGTTCTGAAATTCATATCTGCCCTGTGACCCAAGGGCACTCGTGACTGGGTGACGTAGTGGCTAGCGTGTCTAGATTATATGCCGCAGTATCACGATTCGCGTCCAAAGGGGGTCAAAATTGCAATACAACCTGGACGAGAATACCTTTTGGGAAGCAATGCTTACTCATAATTGTGGGAAAATTCAACTGTCAGTCCTTTATCATCTTAAACGAAATAGCGTGAATACGGCTCTTAGATAAATAAGATTGTTGTGAAATATAAAAAAGTCAAACAAAGTAATTCCATTTCTTTAGTATCAGAGCCGTACCGATGCACATATTTTCGCATGGCTAGATAAGCCATCCCATCTGCAATCTGAGTAGCCCAGAGATATATCTGCGCCTGAGAGACTACGCCTTCACCGGAGTCGCCAAGGTGACGCAGATAGCTGGCCAGGTCACCTTGTGTCATCAATTCCATGATCACCATAGGACCCTGGGTAAGGATATTGCTGGCTACCACTGTGGCAGCCATGCCTTTCACCAGAGTGGTAAGCTCATTTGGTTCGTTGGCTGTTTGAAATTGAAGGCAGAGGGGCACAAAATGGGCAAAAATTTGTTGTGGAAAGTTATAAAGGCATGCCTTATGGAAGTGAAATGAAAAATTATTCATTTTTGTAGTAAAAATAATTATATTCAAAGCAAGTTATGCCACAAAAAATATTAAGTTATATTTTTTAGTATGCATCTTAAGCTGAAATTGATTAGTCAGGCCAGCAAGCAACCCATAACAAATTTGGCAGTGTTAGTACTCGACAGAAGAGGCCTCTTTTCAACGGAATGACCAGCATAGTTCAATTGGCTTGGCCCACTTATGTGTGTGTGTGCGGCTAGGCTTGGAGCAGACTTGTTGTTTATATCTGTAACATAGGCAAGATAGTGTTATTTTCTGATGATATTTCATGAAATCTGTGACGGACAATAATTACTAAAAATTATTTGTAGAGTAGTTGTTAGCGGGATGTTCATGCAAGCAAACATATATATATATATATATATCCCAACTAGTCTTTTTATAGGTATTTTAAAATAATTATATATGGGGATTGATAGAAATTAATAAATATCAGACAAATTTAGAAAAAAACTGAATTTATTAACTAAGTGGCTTGATGAGTTGTTTACGACGACTCCGCGTGGAACAGAAGGAAAATAGGGCGGATGTAGTAAAAGTCTGCCGATTGGCCAATACTTGATCCGCTCTGGAGGCAGGTGCTGAGTCTGGCTTAGCTGCATCGCATGTGATGGCATTCATATCAGAGAGGACTGGCTTAGAAGATGTGTGTGCAACGAAACAGGGCAGTAGACTTCCCTGAAAAAGTGGATGCAAAGAGAGAGGAACTGATATGCCGAAGTGTACAAGGTGATTTGGTTAACAGGTTGCATCAAAAGAAATCATGAGCGAAATTAAATACCAAGCATTTAAATGATAGAACATGCACTACTTTTCGAAGGTATGAAGACCAAAATGGTGTAGCCTTTTGCGTGGTCGCAGTCTCCTTTCGTTGTATAGAGGTTGTTTGACCTTGATTTCGCAACTTGGTAGTAATGGCAGGAAGACTTAGAGAAACGCACCTAATCCAGAGTCCATTGTATGCATGATAATTTCCAGAGTCGGACAGTGAACGTGGTACATTCCCAGACGTTTGGCCGGCATCGTAGTCGGCATCGTCATTGAGTCTCACCATTCATAGCACCACATAACAACTCGTCGAAGAGACAAGTAAAGCCGATCCTTTGACCAAACGTGTGCTAAACAGTTTTTATGCTATTCATATTTCCTAAATCCTCCTATCACGACTTCACTTTTAGCATTTATACCGTGCTTATTTCGATGTAGTGTGGTGTGTTCCTTTGAGCGATATTCGTGAAAACCCTCAACACTCCATGCTGTCGTTCTCATCCCCTTCACCCTTGTGCTAAGAGTGTTGATCAGAGTCTGCCATATTGTTGCGCAGTCCTCCTTCCCTACCACAGTCTTTCTCTTGCCCCGTAAGATCCGTCCGCTTTCTACCTGGCTCGCGTATTTCATAAATGAGTAGGGTTTCGAGACTACCAGTAAATCATTGTAATGAGATGTATTCACCCTATTTCGTGTAAG